TATAAGCTTATACCGACAATAACGGCCAAACTGTTATATGTACCTTATACTATCATTCACAATAACGGAATAGTCATTAAGTATTCAGAATGACTTTTTTTTTAAAAAAACAAACACTTAGTGTATAAGTAGAATGAGAAAAATATTTCCTTTGGTTTCTTTTTTCCTTCTTAAAACATGTGACGATTTTCTTGTTCCATAAAAGAGGAAAGTTTGGCAAATATTTACCCTTGAGGACATGGACAACAAACCTATCAAGAAAGTTCATAATGCAATTGAGCCTCAATCTACCATTTTTGTATAACTTTTGAGTTCTATATATATATATGCAACAAAGCTGAACCATCGGTTTCTAGCTCCACAATCATACCCCCCACCCCTGCCCATTGGGGTTCACGGAGCAGATGCATATATATAAATCACATGTTATTGCAAACGACTGCCTAGTACTATTCTCATGTGGCTCTCACATTTACTTCTTTGATGATGAGCAACAATATGTACAGCCAAACAAGTTGCTACATTCATTGTACCGCTGATGCACTACAAACACTAAAGTACTAAACAACAAATACAATGGTGGAGAAGATAAACTGATCAGCTGGAAAGTTTTGAGCAAGCAATTGGCCTGGTTTTGAATTTGAATTATATGTATATAATAATGTTTTAAGGCAATCAAGTGAAGGTCAAGAAACGCGGTGATGTAATGGTGCAGTATTGGATGGTGGTTTGGGACGCCGGCTTGGTAGATGATGAGTTTTCGGTTAGGTTGCTAAGACATCGATCACCTATATATACTATTGAAACAAGGAACGCCGTCGATTACTCTCTAACTCATAAGTTGGATTTGCCACCATATAAGTGGTGGAAGGTGGTGGACCTGCCTGCTACTAGGCTTTCCAAGGATCCAATGAGATAGTATTAAAATAAAAGTGGCAGTAATTGTGGATTTTAGAAGAAATGGCTATGCGGGATACAACAATACTGGTCGGACACAATAAAAGCATATGCGCTTCATATGTTGTCCTTTATGACTAGCTAGCATATTTAATATAAACGGATGATAAATAGTATATGTAACGTATGATTTGTCCGTATAGCATCTAAATACTATATGGAAAGCTTATGCATTAGTAATAATCAAAATACTTATATATGGTGATAATGGAAGAATCTAGTATTGAACATAACATTTCTAGAAACAAAACATCTCAAATATAAGTAATTATCTATGTCATATAGAAGGAGAAAAACAGAGTTCCCTTGGTTTATTTTTTCATTACAGCAAGATATGGGATGTTTCTGTCGTTCCATTACATCAAGATGTTTGGCACATACCTTTGACAGTATGGATAACAGCCTGCCAGTAAAGTTCTTACTGTAACTGAGCCGCAATTTAGCACATATGTATAACTTTGGGGTTCTTTCTGCAATAAAGTAAAATTGTCAGTTTAATTTCTTCCCCAATCAAAAGCCCACTGCCCTTGGACATTGCCTACAATTGAGGGTTCACATAGCAGATGCCTATGGGACCATGGACCAACTCATTTTTTAGCAAGCGACTGCCTGCCGTTCTCATTTGCTCTCACATGATACATCTACTTACCTGATGATGGAGCAATACAACAAAAGAGGTTAGTTCATTTGGAACCGTATCCTCTAATGTAATCTATTCTACGTTAGAGGGACGTTCGACCACAGATCGTCGTTGCTTGCGCATCCGACGGCAACAACCATTTCAGTCCTGTCTCTTGCCTCAGGCCCCGCAAGCGCGATGTCCCTGCCTGCTCTCTGGCCCATTCGTTAATAGGGGCAGCGACGCCGCGCCAGCCGCTGGGGAGCTCAGGCTGCCGCACGCTGAAGCCGGCGGGGAGGTCGGACTGGAACGCGGTGCTACCGCTGTCCGCCGGCGAGGTCGAGGGCGATGGCTCCGCCCAGCAGCTGCTGTTGTCGGAACCGTCGTCGGAGAGCTATACGGGGAACAAATAGAACAGAAAAGTTACTCATCCTCTCTTCACTTCATGCCATGAGATTTCTTTTCTTGGTTAACATCTGCACTCGATTGATCTCTTCTTCAAGGAAAAAAACCATCTTCTTTGGTATTTTTTTATTGCAATTATAGACTTGCTATGTCGCATTCTACTGTGAATCTGTTGGCAAAGTTTTGGTTTCTTTTCTTCTGGTTAGCGCTGATTTTTATTCTTCAGGTTACTTGTAGTTTCTGGGACAAGTTAATGACAACACGAATGCCTTAGCAAGATTTTCAACCAGCTGCCTCTTCCATAAGAAAAGGCAACCTGATGATGGAAGTTCGATCGGCTACAGATCGATTCCAATCCAACCTCGCCGGCGACGGTTCCGAGAACAGCAGTCGCTGGGCAATGGGACCAACAGCAAACACCGAGGCGGGCGTAGCCGTCGCCCTTGACCTCGCAGGCGGACGGCGGTAGCACCGTGTCCTAGTCCAACCTTCCCGCCGGCGGCAATGTGTGACGGCCTGAGCTCTCCGGCGGCCGGCGTGGCACCGCTGTCCCTATCAATGAATGGGCCGGAGAGCAGGCAGAGACATTGCGCTGTGGGGCCTGAGACAAGGGACGGGACTGAAACGGTTGTTGCCGTCGGATGCACAAGGAACGGCGATCCATGGTCGAACGTCCCTCTGACGTAGAATAAAGTACGTCAGAGGATCCGGTTCCAGTTCATTTATATTGTACTGGTGCTGCACTACAGTACTACCAACACTAAAGTACTCCCTCCTCCATCCCAAAATGTTTGACACCGTTGACTTTTTTAAAAATGTTTGACCGTTCGTCTTATTTGAAAAATTTAAGTAATTATTAATTCTTTTTCTATCATTTGATTTATTGTTAAATATACTTTTATGTATACATATAGTTTTACACATTTTATAAATTTTTTTGAATAAGACGAATGGTCAAACATATTTAAAAAAGTCAACGGCGTCAAAACATTTAGGGAAGGAGGGAGTACTAAACAACAAAGACAGTGACAAAAAAACGTAAACTGATCGGCTGGAAATTTTTTAGTGAGCAATTGGTTTTGAATTTAAATTGTTGATGCTTTGATGGTACTAATGTTTTGAGGCAATCGTTAAAGAAGCGCGGTAATGCACATGGTGTGTGGTACTGCAGTGCTGGTTAATTAGGCAACTTTTTCATGAACCAAACGGAGAGTTTGTGAACTTCACATTGACATTTTGATTTATTCCTGGAGCCTAATCATATATTCGAAGCGACCTGGGCAAGAGAACTTAAGGAGATAAAGCAAGACCAATAATCTGGTGTTACTGTTTAAGAAGGAATTGCTATGTTTATTGTCTTGTAATAAATCCTTACTCATAACCGAAAAGATAAATCCTTGCTCAAGTGAACCAACTGATTTAGCAGTGCGAAACACACATCTTACCCATATATTACAACAGGAGGTTGAGCCTGCTCCAAAAGTGAGAGAAGATAGCTCACTCACAAATTAACACCCACATCGGATATGTTTGGTTTTGGGATGAGGTGGGATAGGTTAAACTCATCCTTATTTTTAGGACAGTATCACTCCATCTAATCGTTTGGCATGAGGGATGGAATGATCCTAGTTTTCGGGGATGACCCACTTGTCAGTGAGACAAAAAAAATTGGGATGGATTGGTCCGTCAATTTTTAAGGGACCAATCCAACCTGGATCTTAGGAGAATATTTCTTTTCAGTGATCGTCCAATCCCACCTATCTTAAAACCCCACTCCATCCATTGGTGGAGAAACCATCTTTGGTCGATTGGCCGAAATCCACAATAGTCCCGGTTCCACTAAAAACCGGGACTAAAGATGGTCTTTAATCCAGGTTGGTGGCTACAGCGGGCATAGTTGATCTCTGGAACCGGGACTATGGGGGGTTACGAACCAGGACTAATAAGGGTTTCTCCACCAGTGATCCCTGGAACTAAACACATGCCAAGAGATACAGACGAATAGCGCAACCAGAGCTAGAAATGGAAGCCATACTAGCATCTTGTTCCATTTTTCCATACGAAGAAAGGTAACTTCGTTTCTAAAACCTGTATTTTTTTCTTTTGTTTTTTTAGTATTCCTTAGAAGAAACGGAAATAAAAATGTTTGAAATATACCAGGGCCATTAGATAACCCAAATGGCATTACGAGGAAGTCAAAGTGGCCAAAATATATGTGAAATGATGTTTTGGTATGTTCCCTCTGGTTTCATGCAAATCCGGTGATAACCAGAGCAGTCGAACTACAGAATATTTAGAATATAGAGGTTACACTAGAAAGGCTCTTTTGGATGAAAAAACTGTTTGTAGCTTTCATTAGTAGAAACCTAATTCACTATAATATCTTATAATAAAATAGAAGAATTATAAATGTCTAAAATAATACTCCCTCCATTTCAGGTTATAAAACGTTTTGACTTTAGTCAAAGTCAAACTGCTTCAAATTTAACTAAGTTTGTAGAAAAAATAATAACATTTTCAACCCAAGATAAATTTATTATGAAAATATATTCAATTATTAATTTAATGAAACTAATTTGGTATTATAAATATTACTATATTTATCTATAAACTAAACTTGAATCAGTTTGACTCAGACCAAAGTCAAAACGTCTATTAACCTGAAACGGAGGGAGCAGCTAGAAATACCGTGAATAAAACTATAGCGACCCTCATAAAAGGAGTAGTGTCCCAACCCCATCTAGAACGGTTTGTGTAAAAGGAATACTGCAAATAAAGCCATTGCTACTTTCTCATCTAAGAACTATCTTCAACATTTTTGTATAGCCATAAATTCTATTTAATAACTTTTAAAAGACTATAGCACCATATAACTTATCATGCTCCAAATTGATAAGAGAGGTAATTTCGTTCAACCTTTTCCTTTTGTTTGAATAAGAAGTGACAGAAAATATTCGACTAAGATTAGATTTCTTTAGAACTACCCCATCTATTAATGGTGCAACCATTTATTCATTCATTGGCGAAATTGCTTTCTTAATAATGGCCGTAGCTCAAACATCTGAAAAGAATTCTGGGAGTGTTACAGCTACAGCAGGGCAGTAGGCCTAAGAATACAGAACATTAAGGTGAGACAAAACCAACTACTACTTTCTCCGTCCCAAAATTTTACTATCTAGGATGGGATTTAACGGTCAAATCCTATCCTAGGTAGCAACATTTTTGGGAGGGAGGTAGTACCCATTTTTGCTGTGTCAGTTGAAGCAGTTTGCCCTCTGCGAACTGGCAACTCGCAAGGATCAATATTGGGCATGAAGTTGACTGGCCACAAGTCAAAAGACCTTGCTAGCCAAACAGGCTTTGCCAAATGCCGATCCTGGTGCATTTTTACGATGTTAGCGTTTGCGATCGCCCAGCTGAGCTCGTTACAAACCTCTTGTGCACAATTTGATACTCCTAGCTATCTACAGAATACGCATGCAAAACACAAGGGCAATACGGGACATAGCTTTGGTTGGATAAATTATATACTGCTATATGAATTTCTTCCAGGGTCAAAATAAGATCTACAGCACTGAACTGCTTAGCTCGCTAACCATGTTATGCTACCAAAAGTCCAAAACAATCATCAATAGCACCAGTACATGAGATCAACGCACCCACATTACCCTTTGGTTAGAACAATAAATATTTGCCGCTTCGACAAGCTGAGAGGTTAGGATCCTACGAGATGCAAGCTGGAAGACCGATCAGGATGATGTGATCCCGGAGTCCAGCTCAGGGACCAAGTTATTTTGCTTCTGGTTCTGGTCCTCCCAAACCAAGCCAATGCTATACTCGGGGACATAGTCCTGCAACACATGTATATTCATACATAGGCTCAGGATATCAACTCCATATCAGCATAGAAATGTATGGAACATCTTCTATTGTATTACCGAAAGACCTATCTTGAAAACATTAGCACCTATCTGACACTCTAATGATATACTTAGAGATTAAGTTCTGAGCTGGGATTTAACCTCCAATTTCATAACTAGCTCCTTGGCTGTTGGAGCGGAGATGATGATGCGCCTAGCCTCCTCGGTGATGAAGCCTTCATTAACAGCCAAGTCGATAAACGATAGAAGAGGGTTGTAGAATCCGTCAACATTCAAAAGACCAACCTGCAGGCAACAGTTTTAAGCAATTACGATATGTAAGGTACCAAGAGCAACTCGTACTGGCAAAAAGAAAAGAACGCAACGCCTGATTCAACAATCTTGATTATTGAATATATAATCCATTCACACCTGCAGAATCGTGTCTGATATCCCTAACAAATAAAAACAATCTGGTGGGGGCCTTAAGACTCAAATAATAGAGGCAGATAAGCATGGATGAAGAAAAATGTTGAATTGACTGCGCTTATCCCTCTAAGTAATTAACTTCAGCATTTTATATTTGTTAAGCAATTAATTAATATAGACAGCAACGGCAGTTTCTTGTTCATGTGACACATCATACAGTATAAGATCCTCCAATCGCCATTCCATTAGCTGTTTGAGAATATTCAAAAAGTGTGAACCATATCTATTTATGGCCAAAGTATAAAAGATAGAAAGCGCAGATCACATGCTCTTCAGTCCGAACAATTTTCTGATGTAGTGATGCAGGTAAATTATCACTTTCATAATTTGTAGCTATGAGAGCGAAATTTTTAGGTCACATGTGAACAAGGCAAGATTATAGCTGCAGATCACAACGGCCCTAACGACATAATGATAAACAAATTAGCATTTCCTAACTACTAATACAAAGCGAGTTAATTAATGAAACAAGCCGATAAGCACATGATCTATGATTAGTTAGTATGGATAATTTCGTGTGAGAAGAATCATAGCCAACTGTGAGTGAGTTTTTACCGGCTTCTTATGGATTCCAAGTTGTGCCCAAGTAATGACCTCAAGCAACTCCTCCAAGGTTCCATAGCCACCTAACATTTTAGGATAAGGATCAATAACTACAGCACAAAATCGATAAAAGTTTTGGTTTCTTACACCAGAGAGAGAGAGAGAGAGAGAGAGAGAGAGAGAGAGAGAGAGGATCGGCTATAATACCTGGTAGAGCAATAAAAGCATCAGCAAACCGAGCCATCTCGGCCTTCCTCTCGTGCATACCAGAAACGGCTCTAACTTCCCCTACAGGTTCTCCAGTTACCTACAGATCGATGCGTGTGTACTGGGGATATCAATATATATAGTCCAATAATGTGCCACAGCTACATAAAGAACTATGGTACTTCCTCCGTTTCACAATGTAAGTCATTCTAGCATTTTTCCACATTTATATTGATGTTAATGAATCTAGACATATAGATTCATTAACATCAATATGAATGTGGGAAATGCTAGAATGACTTACATTGTGAAACGGAGGGAGTATACAACATGTAAAGATCCACTAATCAAAACATTAGCAATCATCATTTTAGGAACTGCACTTTTAAACATCAACGCACTTACGCACAGCCTCAATCCATATTGCATTAAAACATGAAGGAATTGAAGATGGTCAATTCAAGACCACAACTACAGATGGTTAGCAGTCTTTTCAAGATACAAGTGGAAAATGCTAGTACTATACATAAGAAATGATGGATGTACTTATTAACAAAATAGGAGCTGTACAGCATTTTAGAACTTTCACAAGGATAGCAACAAGACCATTAGGATACCATTTCATATGTCATCACGCACAATACATAAAATCAATTTATTTACTAATCTCACAAATCAATCTTTGAGAGACAAAGATGCATTAGGTTCACATCGAAAATCAATATTAGGAGTATCATACAACAGCATTATCAGGATGGGGAAAAAAAATCATGCAATAGCAACAAAATGCAAGTTACAGCCTTTGACTCACCTCTCTGGGCATCAGAGATTTTGGAATGATCCTGCGAAAAAAGAAGAGGGGGAGCAAAAAGCTACATTAAATTCAGGCAAAAGCAGTCAAAACACGTAGTAGTACAAGAAGCCGAGCTTTTCCCATGTAGAGAAAACTGGCTAGTCTAGAAACAGCTAGACAGAAGTAGGCCTTTCAAGAACCGGACTAGTACTCCAGATAAAACCACTGCACAATACGCGTACTCTAGTAATTCAAAGGGCAGCTAGCTGGTGCTGAGATAGCTAACACCCATTGCGAGCATGGAAACAACTATGCTTTCGGAAAGAAGACCGAAAAGGCGCTTCCATTTCAGTGAAACCGATCGGCATGCATCATGCATGGCATCGGCATTGGCATGGCTGGCGCTGGGCTTCCTCCAACGGGCCACCCCACCCCACCAGCAGCCTGCCCAAAGCTGTGCACTACACAACACAAGGCTGCCATTTTGGCTGGTGCAAGGAGAGGGAGCAGCAGCTGCAAGCAAGACTAGTACTAGTGCGGTAGGGAGCAGCGGAAGAGCACCATAAAAACGCCAAGCAAAGCAGAAGAAGAAGGCTAGGTAGGTGGATCGAAATGGGAGAGGAAAGGGAAGAAGAAAGCGATGGAGATGGATACTAACCCAATGACATGGCGACCTCCAGCATGAACTGCATGCGAGACCAGGCCCATGAGTCCGATGGATCCACCCCCGTAGACCAGGTCTATGCCCCTCTCCACCTGCAGAACGAAAAAAACCTCAGAAAATTGCAGTCTAGTCTACTCGCATCATCAGGTCAGAGAGTAGATGGAATCCACACCACAAAGGTGGTAGTGTAGTAGTACAAGTATTATGTTACATCGATTATATTGGTTGCGTTGGGGCGATGCATGCGACGAAATGGTTGTGCATTTGGGCAAGAAAGTGAGGTCATGAGTGACAGCTAGATGATACTCCTCCTACTCCTACTCCAGATGGAATGGAATTGGCAAGGCGTTGCACCGCGTTTCGGCCTCCTGACGATGCAGCAGCAATTCGATGAGACAGTGAATGGAAACCCAGCCAAGCCAGATGGATGCATGGACGTGCCTGCTCGTCCATGATGCATCTTGGCGACCTGTTCATCCATGATTTTGGCATCTCCTCCCTCCATATGATCACGCACGCACGCACGCAAGCACGAAACCCCCATGACGCACGCCCATGGCGATGGATACAGCTCATTTCATCAGGCCATGCGATTAATCTAGTACTAGTACTCCAACACGACACGATCGATCGATCTAGTAAAGAGCTACTCTACCTGAGAAATGCGCTTCCGCATCTCAACCCAAACCAAACGCAGGCATGAGAAGCAAATTAAACCGAATCATTCAATTCAATTAAAAGGGGAGCCCTATATTTGGGAGAAAATTTAAACCTAATTAAAACCTCTCGCCCGTGGAAGGAAGATGAAACCCCTGGATCGAAATGGAGATGGATGGGAAGTCGGTTAATTACCAGCTCCTTGCCGAGGTCGACGGCGGCGTCCTGGTAGCTGGGCTTCTTCCCCTTGGCGCTGCCGCAGTAGACGCAGATCCGGCGGAACCGCGACCGTCGCTCCCCTACCCCGCCGCCGCCGCCACTACTACTGGACTCCTCCTCCATGGCCGCCGGAGCCGTCGCCGTCGACAGCGGCTCCATTGCCACCTCCTCTGCCGCGATCGCGAACGCATGGGTCGGCGCCGGCGCCTCCGCCGCGGCCGCTAGGGTCATGGTGGCGCGCGTCTTCCTCCCAAGGCAAGGGTGCAGTGGCGTGCCGGTGTCCGATGTGTGGGGGGATCGGAGGACAAATCCGTCCGTCTTTCCGTGTCGCGCATTTATAGGCGTGGCCGTGCTGGTGGGCCCTACCAAGCCTTTCTTCCTTCCTTCGGAGGACGCGCTTGCTTCCGCCCTTTTCTTTTTTTTCCCCTCTTCTTCTTTTTGTTTTCGCCCCCTGCAGCGTCCTTTCTGCAGCCCAACGGTGGATTCTCGCATCGTGTGTGAACTCAAATTTTAAACGTGTCCCTCTAAAGGAATAAACAACAAAATCAAATAATTGAATTTAGAGTCACCTCTCTTATACACGAGGAGTGCTAGTATAGTCTCTCCTCCAAAAAATTAATTAAGTATTTTCTCTTTTTTTTTCTTTTTCTTGTTCTTCTGTACTGCAGTATGTCACGTGTAGCATGATCGATTATATATCCTCGGGAATTTTCCTTTTAAGAATTCTCCCATCTCATGTGTAAACTCAAAATCTCAACGTGCTAGCTCCTCTTCTCAAAAACTACTACTAATATAACTAAGATTAAACTGTTGTTTTCTCAATATATATGTATATGTGCACATCCCCAGAAACTTCTTACAACAAAATTTAAACTTTTCATACTACTACCTTTTTTTTTTATTTTTTTCTTATGTTTTTGTTTCTGAGTAGTAATATAATATACGATGATCCCGTAATGGTTAGCCCATAAAGAAGAAAACTGCTGGTATATATGCGGTCAGTATGGGTCCTCTTACATGGCGCATGGACAATAAATTAAAATGGTGATACAGTAATGCATTGCATTTGCATACAAACATGGGCACAAAGCCAATGATGGAATTAATGGTCTTCCATCGATATCCCCCAAATGATTTGCTAAATAATGGTCGGATCAGACGAGATTTTGCGTACGACTCAAGCCTTTCCCTTTAATGACATTAAAAATTATTGTAGCGCTAGCCAATTTGATCGAGCTGCTTTCGCTAGCTAGCTGCAGTAGTACATATCAACGCCTACAGTTTGTGATTTGCTAATGATGATGATACTATCAATACAAGTATATTGTACATATATCATCATCATCATCATACACGCCTTTATAAATATATAGGAGTATTTGATTATTGCAACCATCAGCGCATGAGATTATATTATATTCAAACATTTTTATTTGGCCGGTGTGTACGTGCATGGATTTTGTAGCCGATTAAGCGAGCGAGTAATCTGCAGGCTGGCTGGTGTCGTCCAACACGACACGCCGTACGCTCAACTTTTTGCTGACCATCATAATTAAACAGGCCGAGACCGTGGGATCACAACGACGTCAGCCATTACGAATCCAAGAAGTCATCACTACTGCCCTTCCTCCCCACTCGTACCAATTTAAAATAAATAAATTAATTAAAATAATCATCAGTTTAAATCTCAATAAAATTGTCCTCTATCTTTATTTATTTTAATATTTTTTCCTATTTTTGCAAACTCTAATATATTGATTTTTAAAATTATATCTATTTTGAGACAAACAAGAGGAGATAAAACTAAACTTATTTTAAAATAGAGGGAGTACACACCAGTGGATTAGGAGTATCGCACTTGGTCTCCAAAGACGAAGAAAAGACAAGTAGGAGTACGCACGAGGAAGGCCATGGGGAAGCATGTGGGCATTTGTTAATACACTGATGCTGTCTGTCTTCTTATGTATGGGAGGTTGTTTAAGCAAAGGAAGCAGTTAGTCAAGGTCGTCAGTTACGTTGGTCAAACACTGAACTCAATTTAAATTGTTGGATCGGCCGGTGTAACTCCGGCATCCTCTCCAATTTTTCTATATATATATTCTCGCCCGTATATATACTTCTTCTACTCGTACTAGCAGTAGGTGATGTTTCTCCATTCCAAGCAAAAGATTGCTGGTGCTCTTCTGTCTTGTCCTGTGCTGTGCAGAGATCAGATTGAGAGCTGGAGTGGTAGCTCTCTTCCGTTGTTTTGTTGCAAATATATAATTCTTGATTGATTGTTCATGCTTCCTTGCTTGCTGCTCCCTCTTGTCTCGTGTGATCTTTTTGTCCCTTCTCAATTAAAATTAGTATTGTACTATTATACTGTAATACTATTTCCGTTCCATAATATAAAAATCTAAAACCGAATACTTCAAGTGGATGTTTACTACACTTCAAATAAATTGGAGTAAGATATATTCTAATATTACGAATCTGAGATAAATATAGTATGCACTCAACCGCCAACTTGAAATAAACACGTTACTCGATCACCTGACCGAGTGAATGTATATCACGCGCATGATCTCTTCTTCGTGACTCTCCTCTCGAAGGAGCGGAGCTAGAATAATATAGAGAGGGTGTCATCTGTTTAATTTACTCTGTTTTACAGTTATCATTTTTTTTACCAGGTTCCTGATAGGCTACCGAGAGTCCCGGTAGCGTATGTGGGTTACTGCATGCTCTATCGTGAAGTAAATTTCTAAACATTTATTAAGTGAACTGTAGTTAATGAGTGGAGCAATGAAATGTTTGACGCATTTTTAAACATGTTTGACCGTTCGTCTTATTCAAAAAATTTTTGTAAAATATGTAAAACTATATGTATACATAAAAGTATATTTAACAATAAATTAAATGATAGGAAAAAAAATTAATAATTACTTAAATTTTTTTGAATAAGACGAACGGTCAAACATGTTTAAAAAGGTCAACAGCTCCAAAATAGAGGGAGTATATTATATAGACAAAAACGAAAGCACAAGACAATCGAGAGTGATTGATGTACCAAAGTGCGCCAACAAAACGAAAGGTACAAGAAGCTAGCTAGCTAGCATATGTAGGAGTATTACTACTAGTAGCTAGTAAAGTGGAGTACGTACTAGTATACTCCGATCCGTATATTAACAGAAATTTAAAGTACGTACTTAAGTACGTTGTTGCATGATGCGCATCTCGCGAAAATACGACGAGTACTGTGTACCGTGTTTAAATAATCGACGTTCGCCGTATATCGGTCATCACGTTGCTATTTGACTAGCTAGCTAGCTACGAGTATACTGGTCGGTTTAATTGATTATCAATCACAACCATCCGATACGATAATGGCGTGCCAAACTAGTCTGAACTCGGAAGCAATCGTTTTTTTTTAGATGAAGACGGCAATTTATTGATTACTGAGCATCAGACAGGAGCATGTCACGGATACAATCCGGAGTCTCATTACGGTAAACATTACATACAGAGGGCTCAGAACAACGAGCTAATGTGTGTGCCGCTACATTAGAACAACGACTAACATGGATAAAGGAAACACTGATAAACTCAACACCAAGCTTCTTGATGTCCTCAACCAGACAACCAATCTTGAGCGATCCCGCCCAGGTGAGTTTAGCTTCTGAATAACCGAAAGACAGTCGGAAGCAACAATGACATTATGGAAGCCTTCTTCTTTGGCCAGCCACAGCGCATGCCGGATAGCACAAGCCTCCGCTGTCTCCGGATCGGTGATCGGAAGCAATTGTTATGCACATGCGGCAGCACACAACCGGCCCCCGTACAAGCCGATGTATGAACGGAACATTTATGTTTTGTGTTATTCGTGGTTCAATAACAAACAAATGTATAAAAATGAGCTATATATATAAAAAATCGAAAACCAATTCTTTTTTTTTTAAAAAAAACATATATACTATGGTTGATAATTAATTAAGCCGGCCAGAGGGCATGTATTGTGCCACGTTTTTCCATTGGGGCCACACGCACGGGTACGGGTGGCAGCTGATGGACGGTAATGCACGATTATTGTTGCCCAACGTGTGACGGAGTTGACGATTTGCTTCTTGCTCACCTGACCAGTGTAACCAAAGTGTCCGTGGCTGCTGTTGGTTCTGAAGCCATTGTCGACTTTATAAGCACCTCATTTTAAAATATAGTATTTGTAGCTAGATATTTGCATAACTTTTATCTATTAAATTATTATATTCTAGAACAAAGAGGTATTTTATCCATTTCAGAATAACCGACCACTCGTACCTTTTCATTAATATTTAAAAATTGTTATATATTGTCATAAGCACTGTTTACTTTTGAATTTTTGACAAATCATCTTTTTATATTTTTAAACACTATAAATAATGATATATATATATATATTAGTATCAAAGTAGGGTATGTTATAAATATAAGCATAAAACTTCTTTTTTCACTATGCTCTAATAATTTAAGATTTGCTGGGTTTCATCACCAATCCTATGCTGTTGAGCGGATTATGATTTATGAACCCAGGACGCTTACACATTTAAGATGTGGCAGTTATGTGTCTATGATATGTGGATCAGTAATAAATCACTAATTACAACTTCTAAGAGTAGCAAATAGTTATGCAGTAGCAGTGAGGTAGCAAATAGTTATGCAGTAGAAGTGAGGTGAGGCGACGTTACTGTTTGGGAAAGCGGACATTGGTGGGCCAGTTTTTCTCGCGAGGCACACAGCTCGGACTACACCCCAACTGCTTCCACTCTAGTAAGCCCGGCCCACAAACATCGATCGGCCTCCTCCGCTCATCCGGAGTACTACTCACTTTTATCCTCCCTCACCTTGGGACGAGTTTTTTTTTTTTAAAGAAAATGACATTAGCAACGAATTGATAAAGTAGAGAGGTAAACCTTGCGGAGGCATGCCAATCTTCCAGTGTCACATGGTAGCCATATCAAAATGCAAGGCTCAACGATCAGTTTTAGTGCTATGCTATGAATTAAAGAAACTGAACTGGAGCTGGTCAAGAACGGATATGCTGCATCCCGTTCTGCGCCGAGGTTTTATCTCACTCTCAATTCTCTCCACCTTCAATTCTCTTTCTTTCTTTCTTTGTTTCTACATGGGATCTTTGCTAATTAGTACTACCCCATATTTTAATGTATGGTGCCATTAATTTTTTTGTCTAACGTTTGACCATTCGTCTTATTAAAAAAAATTATGTAATTATCATTTATTTTATTGTGATTTGATTCATCATTAAATGTTCTTTAAGCATGACATAAATATTTTTATATTTGCTCAAAAATTTTGAATGAAACAAATGGTCAAACGTTAGTCGAAAAGTCAACGGCGTCATACATTAAAATACGGAGGGAGTAATACCTCCATATATTTTAATGTATAACACCGTTGACTTTTTATGTAATTATCATTTATTTTATTGTGACTTAATTTATCATCAAATGTTCTGACATAAATATTTTTATATTTGCATAAAATTTTTGAATAAAATTAAAATTTATAACAAACCTCATTAAATAACAAATATTACTATTCTGACAGCAAATGAAATGAATCCTTTTGATCGTGTTGTCCAAAATTGCTTTTACTTGCATCGGATTGCACTTCCAAAAGTGCACTTGACTATTTGATATGTAAATCTCGATCCTAGACTGAAAAGCAAACCAGGAAGAGTTACACACAACAATGTAAATATGACCAGATTTACACACAAGAATGTAAATATGATATGGTATTACTTTATCAAATAACCCGTAAATTTAGCTACCAACAGAATCACTATCCAGCACAATATAAGAAAAACAGTGACACTGAACAATTAAGATATACTATACATTGGCATATTTCCGGATATTCCCCACCCATCATCTCTCCCGACCTTGTCAAAAGAATAAACAATCAAGATATACTGCCTCTGAATTTTCTCAGCAACATTAGAAGTAGCCATGTTCGTTTAATCCTTCTGAACTAAAAATTTCTTGCACAACATTTTCTAAAAATGTAAGGCAAAGTAAAAACATAGATTGAACAAAGAACATCCAAAGTGTAATTTTCTATATCCAGACTGTCCATGACACATTAGAGAGTTAAGTTGGAGAGTACTAACCACCTAATGTTAATGATTTCCTTGAAAAATCAAATTAGGAAGCCTTGAATCACAAGGACCAAATATATTTATTAATCATAGGGACCGACGGGAGACAAATGCAATTGCACTTTAGGGCAAGGATTGGTATGAACCTGACAGTGGTGAAGGCGATGGTCATAGAGAAATAAGAGAAGATGGTTGGAGGCTGGGAGAGGGAGCAACTCTGTGAAACCATCATCATTTGCAGGAAGCAATCAAAAGGTCCATTCGGCCAACTCGTTCCCAAGCTGTACAATAAAATGGAATCAGCAAATGGCATATATCTTATCAATATATGTGTTTTCCTGTAATCATTTACCGATATAAAATAAAACACAACCACCCAAGAATGGACACTACGAATGACATCAACGGTTGTTAATTAAAAATGAAAAAAAAAAGAGTGGTCAATCCTATTTGCATTTACTAATCACTATCATTTTATTAAGAGGGGATATAAGGTATAAAACCAAGGCCAGGAAGAATTTTTGAGTAACCAGTAGCAGTCCACTCCCAGTGCAATTTCATTGGATTCACCACAAGCTGCAATCAGCATCCACCCAGGTGAAGGCAACCAAAAATGAGGCTCTCAAATGCAGTACTGTTAATATCCACTATATTTTGAGCAATTTGAAACCAAAAAATGAGGCACATGAATTAGATCTTAAACGGTGTAATCTAAGATATAGATCTAACAAAAAAGGACAAGATATTTATTAGACAAAAGTTAACAATTAAACTAAGTATTCCAGTTTGGAACAGAGAAATTCAAGTGAAGGAGAAGTTCTCCATTTTTGTGGCTTAGAGCAAAATCACTTTGATGGAGACTGAACTTATGCAAATATTAAGTCACATTTGAATTCTATACAAATAATTAAACCCAGTGATACATTTAAATACACTGGAACTGCACAAGAAAGGATGAAATGCATCTAAGCTTGCTGTTATGGGGAAAAAAGCATATAAACTTTGAAGCCAGCTATCCTAAGAGAAAAATTAATGCGAGTTCTCATAAGCATATTCTGTTTTTAGTATGGTATAAAGAAAGAACCTATGACTGGGAGCATTCAAAGTGCACAATGGAATTTAGCGCTGGAATGGTTCAAGGTTTATTGCAGTGCAATAATGCATCTGAGCCAAAGCATCCAGCAAAATATGCAGCATAAGTATATTAGGTTCCATGCAGATGCAAGTGGTGGCAGTTCCATTAATATCTTAGATAGCAGGTAGCAGCAGAGGTGGTAGAAATAACAGTGCTTATTTATAGTAGTGATGTTTTTGCTCTAAGGCTTTATATGTTGTGCTGCATAGTTCTTGTTCCAGAAGCGTTAACTGGCCACTTTGTCAGCTGTGCCATTCCTAATCATAGGTGTTTATATTTTCAGAAATTGAACATGGAGCACCATGGTTCTGTGTAGATATAACAAAAAAAAAATGACAACAAACAATAAAATTAGTTATGGTCTGTAGAGAATTAAGGTGGAGAGTTCTATAAATAAATACCAGTCCATTTGAAATGCACCTTTGAATTTGCTGAGCCTGTTACCTGACTTAAACAATGAGAATTAGGCATGGCCTTCGTGAGTTGTTCCACATTGTTAATTATACACTTCAAGCAACTTTAGAGGATCTGCAGCAAATGAAAGCAGACATTACTTAATGCTTGTCAGAGGACACTTAAATGAAACGAAAATAGTAATTAATTTAGTTTATTCACCAGAAAAATATATATTACAGACAAAAATTAAATGAGGAATCAAAATGTGTTTTGAGTTTCTATCTATTGTAGAGAACTAAATTTATATGCCTGAAATTTATAATACATATATGTCTTATACAAAACAAAATTTCTTGTTTGTAATTTTTAAACAGTAAGTCGTAAATTGAGCAATCTTCAGGAAAAAAAATTGGACTTTTACATCGCCATCAGCACTATTCACAAAGTGTCCCCCATGTCACTATTACGCTGCCAAAACAGATCCCCCACAGATTTGCAGATCTATAAGCTGAAATATGAAACGCAAAGTTCTTTCAGTAACAACTCATATACTGAATTACTTCGTTAGGATGAAAATCCTAAACAATTAATACTTCAACTCAAATCACATCAGAAAGAGAAGATGTGCAAAATGGTAAAGCACATCAGATCTAACAATCAAATTAACAATGAGCACTGGAAAAAAAAACCTTTCTTCTTTTACCTGTCCTGATAAAAGAGGGCATCACTTTAGCGCCGTAGTTTCTTCTAAGATTGCTTGCTAGGCTTAGTGATGATATATGAATCAGCTAAACTGAAAATAAGGAAACAAATTAGTCAAGACTGCTGAGATAGTGGGTAGGAAGCAAAAGCAAGTTAATATATAGGATTTACCAAAAAAAAATCCAATAACATGATTGTCATTTTATATCAGCAATCATACATTGTACAACTGGTATCATTATAGCAAAAGAAATGACTGCCAATAATTTTTGCTGCCATAGTATACACAGGATGTTGCCAAATATATTGAATGAATAAATATTCAGACCGTGCATTCTATAAATAATGAAGCGTGGAGATATATAGTTAGTTAAGGCTTGTTCTTCTATTTAACTTGCGTGGAGATATATAGTTCTAATAAGAACTCTAGTGCTATATACAATTCCACTATTTGATTAATAATGTAGACATGCCACAATTAGCCCACCTTTTGCCCATGGGAAACAGAGGCCCGACAAAATACCTGGTGCTACTGCCATGGCAAGCAACTATAAGGCAACTGCTATAACCCAAAAAAAAACATGAGGCTTTTGTAAACGAAGAACACATCATAAAAAATATATGCCATGTAGCACAACCCATCACTATCAAACACCAAGGGCACTAAGTTGTTCCAACTCGCTGGCCATATTACGGAATTTAGGTCTAACTTAACACTTAGTCAGGCCTTTAGAACATAAACAAACTCAGAACTGCAAGAACTATAAAAGAAAGGGACAATCTTAGCAGAGCCCAATAGCTAAATCATATATCATCAAATTTCTTCCCATGAAACAATGTTTGGATGAAAAACTGAAGCAATCTAGCATGATGAAAAAAAAGTAAAGCAATCTAACATGATGGGACAGAGGAGAAAGCTCACAGTGTTGATAGCGACTTGCTACCCCTCCTGGTGGCACTACTATTGCCGGTTGCTACCCCTCCTGGAGGCAAAACAAAAGAAGGAAACAGTATGAGCCACATTGATAAATCACCACAAATTCTGATTGACTATCACATATTCCAATTTGTATCATAAACTGCTCAAGAACATGTATTCACATCTATACACACAAAAATGCATATACATTCAAACATCAACATGCGCAACATACCATCCCACATGTTCATCAATTTGCACATCCACACCATCACTGTTTTAATCAGTCTACCAAGAACACCAAGAAGAACAGAAACTTACAAGGTCAAATGGAGCCGGGGAAGATCCGCTTTGACCTCAGTCTCCTGCACATCGCCGGTGCATGCTCGGGAAGGATGGCGTGTCTGAGACGTTGCCGTTGTCACTGCCGCCACCAAGCTCAACAGATCCGGAGATCCTGGATCTTTCACATCCAACTTCCCCACCGGCTCTGGATCTGGATTAGAGAGAGGGAGAGCAAGAAAATGGGGGTGGAGGAGCAAAGTCCTTCCCCATGGAGCTCGCCGCTGTGGAGAAATGACAACCGTTGACACTACCGATGAGCCTCTTGTAAAATTGCAGGCACCAAAATGAAGGAAAGAGGGTGACGGTTTCTTGCCTGGCTGCTGCTACTGCCGTCCGCCGCTGGAAAGAACGCCACCGCCGCCGCCTCCAGCTCCATCGCCTCCACTCTGGCTCTCCCTCCGGCGACTCCTCCATAGCCGCTGCGTGAGGCGACGCCGTCGAAGTACTCCTACTGCTCTCACCCGCCAAAAAGAACGTCGGCGTTGGTAGCAACGCCGCCTCCTTCAACTCCATCGTCTCCAGTTGCGGCTCACACTCCAAACCTCGTGCTAAACCAGCCCACACCTTCGGGTGGCTGGATCCGCCGGCGGGGAGGTCGTGGCTGCCAGATCCGGCGGCCAAAAGGCCTCACCTCCACCGGAACCGGCCCCGCGGTGGTGAGAGGGAGGTGTGGTGATGATGCTAGGTGGCAGAGAGTATGCGGCGGCGTGGCCTAAGGGCACCCACAATGGTTATTTATAGGTTCTCTCTAAGGGATCCATGTCAACATATTTTTCTACTTGGAAGAGATTAAATGAAAAGAGAACAAAGCTATCTACTAATCTGGAGATAGTCTATAGAGAAAAACGAGACAATGGATTAGAGAGCTATAAATACCCATGTAGACATACAATTGAAGTGGTTTATTATTAATCTAGTCTATTACTAAGATGTACATGTCTATTACTAAGATGTACATGTTTTATAGTAGCACCTTACTTTATTATTGCGGGCGCTCTAATGGGGAGGGAGGGCGCCGTGAGGAGGAGGCGGCGGCGTGGGCGAGGGGAGAGCGAACGAGAGGAGAGGAGCGCGAACCAGGGAGAGGCGGAGAGTGAACGGTGGCGGCTAGGGTTTCGGGGGAGGGGTTGATTGGGATAAACGTTTTTGCGAAAAAGACCCTTAGTTTCAATGTTTCCGAGCGCGGTCCTATTTTCCAAATTTTCTCTTCTTCGTATAGAATATTTTTGTTTACAGAGGTCCTCTAATTAAGAACGCATAACGTTAAAACTAAGGGATAGGGACCTATAACAAATTATCAAGTAAATCAAGGGCTTTTTTTTTGTAAAATGACCAGCGACGATGCGGAGGCAGGAGCGCTCGCGAAATCTCTCCTCCTTCCAGCGCCCGCTGACGTGTCACGCCCCGGCCGCGTCCACGCCAGCGCAAAACGCTGAGGAGCGAGCAGATGGGGTCGGTTTGAAGTCTTTAGATTTCAACCACCACTATGATACGATCTTCGTCATGGTATCACTACTTAAGAATGTTCTCTTCTTTTTTTTTTCTAAACTTTGCCGATACCCTACAAATTCTGGCATGCATGATGCAATATGTACTACTACTCCTCAATCCACATACCTATAACTGCTAACGTTATATTCAAATTTACGCATGTTTATTTATTGTGTGTATTACATCAACTCATGATGTTTTCATGCAAACGGAACCTACCTAATGGTAATGGGTTCAGACTTCAGACAGACAGGGAACTGCTGATGAAACCACTGATAGAAAACTGCGTTTTGATAGAAATGTGAGTATTGATCAGTACACAACCACATAGAGATGTGCCAACGAAAGGACTAATTAGCCCCCTAATTCCATGCTTGCTGCTACTATTTAGGTTACTAAGCGTTCGCCTAATTCGAAAAAGTTCTCTGCCCATCATACCAATCAGGCTACTAAAGCCACAAGCTCATTAACCAAACCAAGCATGCCCATTTATATATGGTTTAATTTGCAAGTTCAATGAGTGATTTATTAACATCATATTACGTTTTATGTTCCTTTTCCAGCATGATGAAGTAGCTGTTTTGAAACGCTCTGCTCTTGTACAGAGTACAGGCTATTTCAGTGGCCAGCATCCTGGATGAATTTATTTGCCTCCAAGAATCCTCCTGTTCAAGGCGGCTGGATGAACATCTGAGATGGATGCTACTGGCTGTGGAGGTAGGAGGTTTTTTCTCGTCATCTGCATCAGGGTATAGAAATGGCCTCGCCCTCTTGCTGCTTGGACACAAAGGGGAAGAGAAGCCTGTCAAGGTGACACCGTGGAATCACTACCGACTAGTTGGTGGTGGAGAAGCCGAGCCAGCTTCAGAGGAAAACAATGTTCCTTCTGGTAAATGTGCTTCCTTCATATGCTTTGGATGTCCGCCTGCAAGGCTCAAGGGGGTGTCTCCTCCAAAATTGGCTTCAAGCGACACGGCTGGGAACTCATCAGAGCAATCACCCTGATTATCCAGTTCAAAAAACAGGAAATCAACAACTAATGGCTACTCCTATGTCAATGAAAGTGGGATAAAAGGGTGTCTGAAGAACAACTTGAAAAGGGATTCTTCAGAGCGTTATGTAGTAAGTGATGCCGAGGATCCACGTGAATCGCTGGAAGAAGTACAAACATTGAAAGCTGGTATGGAACGGAGAAAAGTTCACTGGACTAACACTTGCCGGAAGGAACTTTTCGAGATCAGAGAATTTGAAACTAGGTATTCCTTCTACTTTCATGAAACACTAATTCTGCTTGCCCTTTGTTGGCTTCTTAGAGCCTCTTAAAAAATAACAAAATTCATCCATGTCAATGGTAGCAGAAACTATTTGATGCATTAGATCTCATGTGAGGATATTCAGTGTGCACATCCTGATAGTTGTTGTTTTAGGTGGTGTAGCATTTTCTGATTGCTAAAACCATGTTTGAACAGAGATGAAGGTTTGTCAGATGACGAGGTAGAAAACGAGTGTTTCAGGAAATGCGAGTGTGTGATTCAGTGAGGTTCATCTCTGTGCCTAGTGCGTTGGCTGGGACAGTGCTTCATGTGATCTTACTCAAGCGGGAATTGATATAGGGAAATACGTGATTTGTTATTTTTGTACTAGTTTGAAAAGAGTATAATATTATTCGTTGGTTCTCCTCATATATGCAGTTAGTGCAGATGATAATTCTAGGGATAAAATTTTACCTTTTCTTTGGATGCCCTGCTGTTGCTGTACCATACTATGTAAGTTCTCTCTCTCTTTTTTTTTTCTCCCCAAAGGCTCAGGATGTTGATTTCATCCTGCCGTTTTGTTGCTAGGGGTATATTTACGCATGTGAAATGGAAACAAGCGGCCTAACTTATACTACCAACAAGAGGTAGTACATGTGTTTTAGAGTAATTTACATGTGGCATGTATCACATTGTGTTGGGAAGATCTCAACAAGATTCAGGTTGGTTTCAGAAACCAAACAGTAAATAGTTGCTAGTAAAAAAAAAAGAAGGTTCACTGGGATTAAACACAATAGACAGTAGTTCATCATTCGATGATGTTGATCTAAAAGACAGTTAACATGCATGAGGGATATATAGGCAGCCAATATTGGATGTGAAATTGCTCAAGCTAATAGTAAGAGGCATGAGGAGGAGGAGGAACATTAGCATTAGCGGGAATGCCAGTAGTCGTAGCAAGGGTCGAGGTACCTAGCCTGGTGTGGGTGGGAAAGAAGAAGGGCGCCGCGAATGACCGCCTCGTCAGGCTCCACGCCCTTCTCGTTGCTGGCCTCCTTGCCATGGAAGTAGTCCTTGACGAGGTCGCGGACCATGGGGATCCTCGTGCTTCCACCCACCAGCAGGATCTCGTCGACGCCCACAACGTCGCCGCCACTAGCGTCGCAGCTCTCCACCAGGTCCACCGCTCTGCCCACCAGGTCGCCGATCAGCTCCTCCAGCTTGCTGCGCGTGAGAGGCTCCGAGAACAAGTCGTCGTCGTCGTCCAAGCGCATGGTCACCACCGTCTCTTGCTGGTAGCTCAACGCCTTCTTGGCGCGCTCGCACTCCGCCGTCAGCCTGCGGAGCGCGGCGGCGTCGGCGCGGACGTCCCTGCCGCCGTGCTTGTCCTTGATGAGGTCGGCCATGTGATCCACCACCCTGGCGGTGAAGTCGTCCCCGCCGAGGAAGGGGTCATGGCGCAGCGCGATGAGGCTGGGTGTGCCGTCCCGGATGACGAACTTGGTGGCGTGGGCGGTGCGGCCGCCGAGGTGGAAGACGAGGATGACCTTGCCGTCGCCCCGGTCCTCGTGGAGGCCGTGCGCGGCGGCCGCGGCGACCTGCTCGTCGACGACGGAGACGTAGCGGAAGCCGCCGTACTCGGTGGAACCAGAGCTGACCTCTTGCCTTTGGTTTCCATTGAAGTGGCCGGGGACGGTGACGACGGCGTTGTCGATGCGGTGGCCCAGGTGCGCCTCCGCCGTGCTCTTGAGGTGGGCGATGAGGATGCCGGCGACATCCTCGGGAAGGAAATCCTCCACACGGCACTTGGCGCCATCGTCCAGTTGGACCTGGATGCTGCATCTCCCGATCTTTTCCCCCAGCTTGTAGGGCGCAATCTGCGCCACCCTCTTGGCGTGAGGATCTCCCGGCTGTAGGCCGATGAGTCGCTTGAAGCCGGAGATGGCGGCGGAGTGGTCGACGGCGGGTTGGCCGCAGAGGGTGGTGGCGTTGGCGGTGAAGGCCACCCAGGAGGGGATGCAGAACCGGTAGGAGGTGGCCGTGTCCGGCGGCGAGTGGTAGCCGGCGATGCAGGAGTTGGTGTTGCCGATATAAATGGCGGCGGCGGTGCCCGGCAAGTAAGGCACTCCCGTCCACTCAATGCCGTAGAAGCAGTATGCCTTGGGCGCATCTCGTCGGATCCCAAACGCCGCCGCACCCGCCGCGGCTGCCATGCCAACACAAGATTAATAACATAATTAATTAATTACTCCTCCGCTAACTGCAAATCAACAAATTAACCATCCTACTCCATGAGTATAATAACGTACCAATGATGAGAAGCAGCAGGACAAGACGACGACGCGCCATTATTCAAGTTAATTGGACTCCAATGGCGTCTTCCTCTTGTTGCATTGGGAACTTCCGCTTTTTATATACTTCTGGAGTAGTACAAATAAGGAACCCAACATCAACCGACCAATTGTCCGTTTTTGGAAAGTGTCAAGGAGACATGTCACCAGAGCCATTGGGAGCCGTCGGATCTTGATCGCAGCTCTATGGCATCCCACTCCAACAATGCATGCTTCGGTAGTGCCAACCAAACAAAATCTCTATCTACTCAAGCACTTGACAATTTCGATCACCACTTTAATTTGGGCCTCCTTCCAAACGCTGCAACCCAAAAAACGCTTGAATTCGTCGAACTAGCCGGGTGATCCGCACAATTGCATGGCTAGTACCCATACAAAATTATCTATTTTTTACATATGATTTTACTTAAGTTTTGTTAAATAGCTAACTCGTTGTTTTAGGACTTTGAAAGACCGAATTGTTTCTAATTTTATATTTTTAAAACTCACGTCAATCGCTACCCCTTGTTTCTTTATCACCTCTTTATTTATTTGTTTGCCGATCTACTATTGTTTTTATTCATCCTCCTTAAAACCTTTTAAAAATTTGACTCTGTAGTTTTTAGAGTTCATTGTCTCGTAGGTTATCATCTATTATCTTATTAAAGTAATAGAAAAAGGAGCCTCCACGTTCGCTCTCACGGTCTAGAAATTCCCACATTAATAGGAGAAAAAAAAACATAGTCCATATAGGAATACAATATAAAATAGCTAAAATTCAGAATTAAAAATAAGGAATATTGACAGAGTGCACTAGAGTCCATAAAGAAATACTATTAAGAAATAATAGAAATTTGGAATTAAAAAAATAAGGAATATTGGAAGTAGAGTATAGAGTCCATATAGAAATACAATTAAGAAATAATAGAAATTCGGAATTAAAAAATAAGGAATATTAGAAGTAGAGTATAGAGTCCATATAGGAATTTGAAACTAACAAAAATTCGGAATAAACATAATAAAATTAAAAGTAGAGTTTAGAGTTCGTATAAAAATACAATTTACAGATAACTAAAATTCGAAATTAAAAAAAAACAAGGAAAGAAGAGTCTAAAGTAAATATAGGAATACAATTTAGAAGTAACTAAAATTTGAAATTAAAAATTAAAGAATATTGAAAGAGGAGTTTAGAGTCCACATAGAAATACAATTAGAAATAATAAAAATTCAGAATTAAAAATAAATAATATTAGAAGAAGAGCCTAGAGTCTATATAGAAATACAATTTACAGATAGTCTATGTAGAAATACAATTTACAGATAACCAAAATTCGGAATTAGAAAAAGAAATATTGAAAGACGAGTCTAGAGTCCATATAGGAATATAAGTTACAAATAACTAAAATTTGATATTAAAAATAATTAACAACTAACACGTATATAAAATACAATATGAATATTACACATTAGTAGTTTCGTAAAATTAGTACAAAATTTAAAATTATATTGTCATTTTAATATATTTGAACAATACATTAAGAAAACATATATGCTTTTATATGAAAGAAAATACAATGATGCTAGCCGCGTAATCTGCGCGCGCCACCATGCTAGTTTTTATAATTTTAAAAGTTCTGTCAAACGCCATCACTGTATTCCTCTACGGCCCGCTCGCTGCGTCCTCTCTTTATATCACCGAGGTTTTAAAGATCGAGCATAATTATCGTTTGGGTTTAACTTTTTATTTTCTAGAAGTCCTGTCAAACTGTCAACGGCTTTGCCACTGTACTCCTCTACTGCCGGCCCACAGACTCCTCTCTCTATTGTCATTGAGATTTTAAAAATCGAACATATTTATCATTGGGGTTTATTTTTTACTTTCTATAAAACCCACCAACCACCGTGATTGTGCTGTTTAATAGCCTACCCATCGTCCCTCCTCTTAATCGTCATTGAGATTCTATTTAGGATTTTGCTTACCGTTTTAGATGTCCCATCAACCGCCATCACTCTACTCATTTATAGCTCTATTGCTTCTCCCCTCATTTGTCATCGTTGTGTTCTAGATATATTTTTTTGAATTCCATATCTTTCACTCTGATTTTTTTTAAAAAAATTGTATTCCTACTTGGACTATTATAGTTATTTTTCTATTTTCGGATTTTATTTTATTAGTTATTTCGAATTTTAATTAATTTTGTCATGTGTTCTAGATGGTTTATTCTTTCAACAGTCATTTTTTATTACGAATTTTAGTTACTTATAAATTGTATTCCTAGTTGAACTTTTATATTTTTTCAAATTTCTGATTTTATTTTATTTTTTAATTTAAATTTTAATTAATCTCGTATTGTGTAATATATGGACTATTATTTTATATACCTTATTTTTTATTTTCAATTTTAGTTGTTTAAAAATTGTATTCCTAGTTGAAATCTATTTTTTTTATTTTTCTAACAATTTTTTAATTTACTTTATTTTTATTTCGAATTTTAATTAATCTTGTATCGGGTTTCTGTATGGACTCTTCTTCCAATATTGCTTATTTTTAATTTAGAATTTCAGTTATTCTATATTGTATTCTTACTTGAACTCTGTTTTTTTTTCTAATTTCATAATTTATTTTATTTTAATTCCAATTTTTAAAAGAAATAGGTGTCGTTTTTTTTAAAAAAAGCACACCTATTATAGGTGCCGAATTTTTTAAAAAAACCGACACCCGTTAAAACCGAACCGCTCGGGGGAGCCGCGTCCGTTCTTATCCATCCATCCCCCACCTCTCTCACTCTCTCTCTCCCCCCTTATATCTTTCTTTCTTCTCCCTTTCTTCTCCTCTTCTCTTCCCCTCGACTCTCTCGTGCGTCGGCAGCGGCCCGGCGACAGCGGGCGGTGACGGGAGGGAAGGCGGTGGCCCGACAGCAGAGGCGGCGGCGGCGCCCTCCGCCAGATTTGGACGAGAGCAGCACCCCGGCAGGAGGGGAGGCGTGGGCGGCGCCCTCCGCCAGATCCGACCTGGAGTGGTGGCTCGGCAGAAGGGGAGGCAGGGGCAGCGGTGGCGGGAGGGATGGTGGCGGCGGCCCGATAGTGGTGGCGTCTCCCCTCTGCCAGATCTGTCCGGGAGGGGACTCGGTGACAGATCGGCGGCAGCGAACAGAAGCGGAAGCGACAACAGCATCTTGTGTTCATGTGTGCTCATGTGTTCTTTATGTTCATGTCGTGTTCATGTGTTCTTGAAGTGAAATTGCTCGATGCATCGGCTCGATTCAAGCCAATGCATCGAGCCGTTTTTTTTTCGTGTTCTTGAGGCCTCAAAGAAGCCCGCTCTAAAATCGGCATTGATGACCGAAAGTCATCAGTGCCGCCTCCGTGGTGCCGGTTGGGAAAACCGACACCGATTAGGGTTTCTGTATTAGTGGGAGGAATTTCGTAAGATTACTCCTTGACCCTTTGATTCAAAGGATTGGAGCTTACCAAATCCTATGAAATTCCTATGGATTGGTTCATTACATGTAGATTTTAAAGGAAACTTAGCAACAGCTACAAACTCTTTGAAAATTTCCATTGAAACTACTACCTCTGTTCCAAAATATAACCACTTTTGGCTACGAATCTAGACAAACAGTTGTCTAGATTCATAGCTAAAAATGTTTACATTTTGGGATGGAGGGAGTATCTCTTAAGGTCCCCTTTGATTTGGAGGAAAAACATAGGGATTTTGGAGGATTTCAGTCCTATGAATGTCTCTGAATCAAAGGATTGAATCATTTCCAATCCTTTAAATTTTCTATGGAATGAACAATTTTAGATATATTTTCCTCTCGATAAAGGGAGATGCAACCTTTCAAGCAAATTTGAGAGGTTGAAATCTTGTAACGACTAGCAGTTCATTCGAAGTTTTCTCGATCTCCTCCTCCTAGTCCTAGATTTAGTTTACCGATAACTACGGTCTAAAAGAGCAATTTGAGAGAGAATTTCGGAGCAGTATTTCACAAAGACAAGGAAACTGGGAGGAGTTAGTTGGAGTTGTAGAGGAAATTCTGGGCAGCCGCACGCCACATCTACGCCGCGTTTTCTGCCCGCTCGCCGTGCGGCGCCTACAATGCAAGGCCTCCCTCTCGGTACGTACGTATGGGAATAGATACTGTTGAGGTTGGCCGAATTTCATATGCAGCTGCGCCTGCGCGGGAGACACGAGCGCGACACGGATCGGACGCGCACAGCACATGCACCATCCGGCTGCAAGCGATGGACGAAAAGTACGGAAACGGACGACCTGGTCCGAGCCGATCCCAGCGATATCCCATTCAATGTAACTCTGCAACTACTCATCCAACTTGTAGGATCAGGATCCTGGACTTCACACAGTGAAGTTAGAGGCGCACAGTACTGTGATTTAGGGTGATTTGTAGCCATCTAAATTGCAAAGGACGGTCCAGATCAAACAATTACTTCGGGCGATTTGTACTACTTGGCCACTCAATAATCGTGTGGCCAATAATTACTTTATAATTAGTACTACTAAACAAAACGAACCAGTACTTATTCTTTTTTTTCTTTTTATTAGAAAAACAAACGAGCCATCACACATTGCACCATTGAAAAAGTAGTAGTAGAACATTGATCATTCCTGGTACTTACTAGTAGCAAAGTACTCCATGTGCGAGCAGAAAAAAAAATTAAGCATTACTACAAGGGAACTTCAACTACTACTACCACAGTACCACTAGCTAGCTGCTCTGGAACACTCACTGCTTGAGTGTAGTACTTGATGGATACTCCAGTCCAATACTCCACTACGCAGCAAATTAAGGTAGGAGTCGTGCATTACTACGACATCATGCATCTCGGTGCAGCAAATCTGCAATTGCATGAGGAGATGGAGCAATTCAATCAATAACAGGACTGGGCAGCAAAGCAAAGCAATAGTACTATATATTGTTACTAGTATGTGTATGTACACTAGCTAGCTAGTAGGAGTATTCCAGATTAGAAGAAGAGCAGTACTAGGAAGTAAGTTAAGTACCTTTAGCAAGCAGTATATAATTGTAGAGAGAATTAGCTAGCACTCGCCGGTACGAAACCGAAATTGTTTGCGCGGGATGTCATAAGTGATTCCACACGATTTTGTGACCAAGTTCCCCAATATCTGATAACCAGACTCCAAGTAGTCGTCGCGAGCAAAGGAGGAGCACAGTCCAAGAATGTCAGAAAAATATTGGAAAGGAAAAATACTTCTAACATAAATCTGTTTCCATGCAATAGTCAGGAATTCTTGACGGTATCTAGCATCGAGGTAAAATGCATTCTTGGGAGGCAATGTCAGCGTGAGACCGAGGGTAAAGGAGATGTGAAACACAGGTAAAGCTGACCAATTGCTGGGAGGTGGAGGTTTGCGCTGGAGGTAGTTTTGTCTGTCACTCTCGGTGAGAAAGCAAAGCTGGTTTTGGCCGGCAGCAGTGTTGAGTGAATAGCCAAGAGACTCCATTGCTGGGATGATTGCATCCTCTAGTTGACCGAAGGTGGAGGCCAACAGTAAGGTCAATTTCGCCCCAGAGTCGACGACCATCAGTGAGGAGGGGCTGGGGCTGGAGCCGGAGCCGGAGACCAACGAGCGGACCTCGCCATTGACAGTGACAGTGAGGCCGGTCATCCCTATCGAATACACTGGCCTAGGGGTTCCTGGGAACATGGAGGTAGGGACACCACCGCTGCTGTCTGGTCCAATTGATAGATACCCTTGGTGTGCCTCATCACTGGGAAGACAGTAGCTGAACGCCTTGTAACTCAGCAGAGGTGCTATTTGTTCGAAGGAGTAGTTGCTTGTACCCAACCCAAAGATACCAGCCTCCTTATGGGTACTGTACTGGGTGTCCATGCTGCAACCGAACACGAAATTGGCTAGGCTTAATGTCGTCCTCGTCGTTTCTCCACCACCAAGAACAAGCCTGTCTGTCACCGCCTTGCCAACAGAGTAAGCCCACCCACCTCCATAAGACATGGTATAGAGGCAGATGTCTTCCCACTCCATGCAAGCCTTGGACTGGATTCTGAGGGTGCGACCAAGATAGCTGCAGATAGAGGTTGAACAGCCAACATGCCGGAACGTGCTGGAGTTGCTGGGGTCGAAGATGGGCCCGACTTTCGCCGGTTGAACATGGCACTTGATGGTACACGGCCGGCACTGAACCCATGAAAGGCTTGATCCGGTGTCCATGGTCACCAGGTACTGGACGGCTGGCGTGCCCAGTTTCACCGGTATTAAGAAGGCAAAGTCGTTCAGCTTTGAATCTTTAGTCACACTGATTGACGTCTCCTCCTCCTCCTCCTCCTCCTCCTCCTGCTGCTGCTGCTGCTGTTGGCCCAAGGACAGATTGGGCGCATGGATGGTTTCTATGGAACACCGGAAACTCAAGGGCGCCATCCGAGTTCACTGTATGATCTGTTCGTCGTCATTTTTAAACAGTCAAACAAAAATAATAATAATTAATGAATCACATTGTTCCGCATATACTAGCTTATTTAAGTAGTAATAACTAAATAAGCATATATAGTAGTAACAACAGAAAATAAAATCCAGCGTAAAATTTGTACATGTGTGCTTTAGTACTGACTTAAATAATCAATACTGAAAAGTAACTACTCCTATAAGTAAAAAAAATCAACACCAACTTTCTTAGTTACAATTAATAAGCTGAAGAGCAAACGATAAAGCTGTTGTGTCATACATTTATAACCACGACATTACATTATACTCCATCCGTCTCTAAATATTTGACGCCATTAATTTTTTTAAACATTTTTTACCGTTTGTCTTATTTAAAAAATTAATTAATTATTCATTATTTTTCAACCATTTCATTTATTGTTAAATATACTTTTATATATACATATATATTGTTTTACATATTTTACAAAAGTTTTTGAATAAGACGAATAGTCAAATATATTTAGAAAAATCAACGGCGTCAAATATTTATAGACGGAGAGAGTATTACAGGATTACTCGTACTATTATACTGGAATAGTGTGCTAGTGCGGCGGCAGCTCCATTTGCGTTTCTAGATTTACTTCAAACATTCCATTTATTCTCTCTTTTAAGCGACTAGCTCCGAACAACAATCATTTTTTATTCTTACAACTCGTCCTTTTTTATAAATTGTTACAAATACTAAATAAAACGCATGCATGTCTGATTATTGAAGTGTGTGGCTTCCTAGATATAAAAATGAAACTTTCGTCCATCGAACTATTTTAAGACTAATTAGTGATCAAAGTTCAAATAGTGTAAAAGCTGAAATAGTAAATGTCGACGATGCAGATTGTTGTTTAAAAATAAAGGGAGTACTAAGTACTGTAAATTTGCAGGACATTCGAAATCTGTTTGAATATAGAATTAATAGGAGTATACATTAGTATCTAAAGAAAAAAAATAGTCCTGTATAAATCATCAGGCAAGCTGATTAAATGCCAGGACAGGGTTTAAAATTTCAATTTAAGCCTCATCTGCACGTATGATGTCTTTTATATATATATATATATATATATATATATATATATATATATTAAAGGAAAAGTACATTTGCATGAGCAGAAATTATTTCGATCATGGTGCCAGCTATATATCTGCTTTGTACTGCAAGTCTGTGTATTAATTATGTTATCAAACCTAGAAAAAAAGACACCCAAGAGGACATGCACGAAAATTCGTACATACGGAACTTACTAATATATGTACGTTGTGGCACCATATACATATACCACATTGTATAGTTTCAATCAAAATCCAATGCACGCGTAGGAAATACAGAAGACGTGTCCATCTATGAGTTAGCAGTAAATTGTCTCTAGGTTGGAAAATATTCTCTGTTTATTATTTACTAGAAAAAATACATGTGTGTTTCAAGAAACACAAGGGGTAAATGTTATTTTAATCTTATTATTCATCGTCATTTATTGGGATCAAGAAGTACATGATCTAGCAGGTTCAATGCATTATGCATCTTATCGATCGATGCATGATGCATCTCTCTCAAGATATCACACTGCTAGAGCTAGAGTTTAGAGATGAAATTACGTAAATCTCAAAAAAAAAACACGCAAATAAGAATTAGATACCATATATTATGTACTGGCCAACTACGTACCATAGCGGTACCTATGTGCTTACCACTAATACTATTGACAATTATACCCTTTTGCATCTCCTAAAAAAGATAATTTTTCCACCCTTTCTACCTTAGCATATATCTCTACTATTATAAAAATTGAAGATATTTTTACCGATACTTTGGTAAGTCACCCGTATATGAGTTGTTTTTGGAAATGCAGATTCATATTTGAGTTGGTTTGTAAGTTCGTTCGCTTTTGTAAATACAGAAGGAGTTGTATAAGAAATCTCTTTAAAAAAACCCGCATGTTAACTTGACATGATCAGACACTTAATTGCAGCTCATGATTTCTTTTATATATATATATATATATATATATATATATAAAAAGATTGTCCCAAAGATGCAAAATTGTTTTCTTTTTTCTTTTTATTCTAACTCGAAAAAGAAGAAGAGGAAAAAATTGCAATGGATTTAAAACTAGAACTTATTCTTAGGTAAATCCATTGGGAGATGCTTCTCTAGAGTGTCCAATATCTGTTTTCCATCTTGCATATGAAAACTGTCAATTCTCATCAGATCTTCTTCCGTCTTACTCAAAAGGTCCAATAGTGCATGGATATTGGCCCTTTTGAGACAATTATACGTTCTAGAAGGCAGTTCTAATTGATCAATAAAAATACAATTCAATGGAATATATATATATATATATATATATATATATATATATATATATATATATATATATATATATATATATATATATATATATATATATATATATATATATATATAGTTATGAGAAGCGTTGAATTATTACTATTTTTGGAATGCAAATAATTAAGTAAAGAGGTACACCTTGTTACTAACTAGATATCTCTTATGGTGGTTGCAAGATATATATGTAGAGATCATAATTATAAAATTAAATTATTATAGTAGTAGGATAATTAACTAATAAAATAATGATAATTTTGTTTGATGTGAATTGCTTTCCTGATTGAACCGGTAAGTACCCCTATCGAGAAAAGGTTATTAGGAGTAGCCAGCAGTGGTATTTACCGTAGATTGAGGGCGGGCAGCTGTTCCAAGCCCCGGCGCGACAAGAAGAAGAAGAAGAAGAAGAGGCATCATCTTCAATAATACTGTAGTACTGTTTGTGGTTTTCTTCAAGGGGGCCGTGTTGCCTCTGGAGCGTGCGTACGCGTAGGCGTAACCCATCAGAAACACAGCGATGCCTGCAGGGCACAACCTGCAGCATTGCATGCAGTACACAGATCGATCAATATATGGGGTTTCTTGATTAATTTACTTGCCATTAATTAATATTTTAATTAAAGTAATCCAAATTAAATCTGGATATCGATCGTGCAGCGATATGCAGCAGCTAGCAGCACTATATATAGATCGTCAAATTAATGTACGCACCGGCAGAGAAAGTTAGTTGCAGCAACCAACGACGAAGAACAGATTGAGGCACGCAGGCGCAGTGGTAACCCGCCGGGATACGAGTTGGAGGCAGCGTCGTACCTAGTACTAGTAATTAAGTAACAAACAGAATGTATGTACGTAAACATGAGTAGGAGTACACAAGAGTATGCAAGTGTACTCAATACTAGGTAGTACTCCTAATTAGTGGAGTAGTATTGATTACCGTCCTGCTGGATCACCAAATGTGTTGCGGTTCCAAAGCTGCTCGGTTCCATCTTCTATTGGTAGTGGCAATTAAATGAGAGAAATCATCGATCAGTACTTGTGTGATGTGCAAATAATGCATACTCCAGTTTACCTTGAGGTGCAGTTCACCAGCAGCTCCTGTAAAGCGAGTACAACATGAAGCTGCTGCTGCTGCGATATTTTCATCGTCGTTGAGATCCATCGCACAGCAGTAGTACTCCTTGTGCAGATCGTACTTGATGATGATGATCTTCTTCATTCATTAATTTGTGCATGCATGAAACAAGAAACCTAATTAAATAAATACTGTAATACGTGCAGGGGCACAGATCATGAAGCTGTATAGTTATCGAACATTGACGGGTGTACGTACCGGCAGCGGCTCGATGTCGTCGACTCCGACGAGGAGGAGGACTGGAAGCAGTAAGGCCAAGGCTGCAGGTTGCGCCATCGAGCCTTGCTTGGCCTTAGACTGCACTGCAGTGCAGGTTGCGCTTACTCGCCACGATCGCCGGAGTGCAGTGCTATCAACAGCATGGAGGAGGCCGGAGTACTACTGGTGGTCTGGAGCATCCTGGAGCTGCAGTTGAGTAGTAAAGTACACTAGCTAGCTAGTACTAGTACTCCCTCCGTTTTTTATGACGTAGTTGTTTTTTTATTCAGAAAAATTATCTAGTTATTATTTATTTTATTGAGACTTAATTTATTATTAAATATTCTTTAAACATAATTTAATATTTTTATATTTACATAAATAATTTAAATAAAATGAATGGTCAAACATTGATAAAAAAAAATTCAATGATGTTACTCCCTCCGTCCCTAAATGTTTGACGCCGTTGATATTTTTAAAATATGTTTGACCGTTCGTTTTATTCAAAATCTTTTGTAAAATATGTAAAACTATATGTATACATAAAATTATATATTTAACAAGGAATCAAATGATAAGAAAAGAATTAATAGTTACTTAATTTTTTTAATAAGACGAACGGTCAAGCATGTTTAAAAAAGTCAACGGTGTCAAATATTTAGGGACGGAGGGAGTATATATTAAAAAAGAAATGTAATACTATATACTGTCGATGGGTGATACCCGTAGACCGGATATAGAGGGTATTGGGGTACGTTGGTACAAGGATCTACGTAATACGACATCAAGCGGATCAAAGACAAAGATTATACTGGTTCAGGCCCCTTGATAGGTAATAGCTCTAATCCAGTTGATGTGGGATTATATGATGGAAAACACAGGTTACAAAGGGAACAATAGAACTCGACGGATCCGGCGAGATCGTAGTCGAATTGGTTCGACTAGATCCCCGGCGATTTGGCTCCTTGTAGGCTCCGACTTTGTAGGCTGTGAGGGTTGTGTTGGCTCTGAGATTCGATGCCCCAGGTCCTCCCCAGGGGGTCCCTTTTATATCGCAGGCCAAGCGGTTTCCAAGTAGAACTCGGAGACATTAGACCTTACACGATACATTGATGACCCAGTCTTGTCCGAATAGAACTCTTTCCATCCGTAAATTCCGTGAAGGATTTCCTTAATGTATGCAGAGAATATCCGTATGCGCGTGGGTATGCCATACCGATATGCGACGTATATCGAAGGGTAAAGGGTATAACTAACCCGTAACCCTGACAGTAGCCCCCGACTTCTGCTTAAATGAACTCGTGTAACCATTCGCGACTTCTTGTGTCAAGACTGTTGTCGTTCTCGGTGTGAGGACCGTAGAGAGAGGACGTAGTCGAGAACATCATGTGAAGCCCAACGGTCACGAGTGAATTTAAACTGAAGTCCAAAAAACTGCTGCGCGTAACGGACCCAGAAATCTCCAGCGGGCATCTCTCCCCTTTCCTTGGAATTCGCACCGTCGGTAGTGCGTCTATTTAAAGGAATTTTGAGGATCCATTTTGAAGTCCGCCCATTGTGAAGAAAACATCCCGCCTGCAAGTGTCCTTCGTCTTCTCCGCTCTCACAAGAAACCCTAGTCCGTGGACCTGAGCCCTTTCTCCAACGATCTCCGATCGACGATGGATCTTGGCAAATCCTCCTCCACCAGCGCGTCGCTGAAGAAGCTCCAGGAAGACGGCACCCTTCCCGGCCGTGGAACCATGGGAAGGGAAGCAGGAGGTACTGATCCCCAGCCCGTCTTAGGTCGCATGGTTGCGATCGAAGACTACATTCTCTGCGGTTTTCTTCCTCCGTCTTCCGAATTTCTTCTCTTGGTTTTGAACTTCTACGGTCTTTCTCTGCTCCATTTGAACCCCAATTCTATCGTCTTCCTTAGTATCTTTTCTTATCTTTGCGAGGCCTACATTGGGGTAGAGCCCTTTCTCGATCTCTTTCGCTTCTACTACGAGCTGCGTTGGATGGAATCCAACAGGGTGTCTGGATGCGTCGGGTTCCGACTTCGGGATGGCCTGAAGTCATGTTATATCCCCTTCCAGTGCCCTTCCTTTTGCAACAAATGGCGGACGAGGTGGTTCTACCTTCAGATCGCAGATTCGGACCCAGTCTTCGTTGTTCCTGAGGAACAACCGGACAAGATTTCGTCTTGGACCGCAAAGCCCCCTTGACCCCTTCTCTTCAGTCGTTCATCGACATTGTCAACGATCTCCGAGTACGAGGCTTGTCGGGGTATGAAGTCGTTGCAGACTTCGTTGGTAGACGGATCCAGCCGCTCCAGGCTCGAGTCCATCCAGCCTTTGACTATTCCGGACCGGAAAACGCGACCCGGGTTTCTCCTCGGGGTATCTTTCTTGCATTTATCCTGACAGGCTCGTGTTCACGTTCCTCCTGATTTATCGAAATTTGGTTCTCGATTCATAGGTCTGAACAGCGAAACCATGGGACGTCGTGTCGGCCAGGTGATGATCAGTGGCCCGACAACGGCGAGTAACATCCCTGTTCCCCTTTGTGAGAAGGGGGCGGCCGAACGTGACGCTGCCATCAATGTAAGTATACTCAATAGGCATTCTGAGTCTCCCTTCCGAGATCGTGTTGTGACTTGATTAAGCGTAGGCTCTTCCTCTGACTGACATCATCGGGCCGCTCGCGGACCATCAGGTGGCGGCGTCGCTGAAGGAGAAGGTCGCCAAGGAGGCGTCCGATGCTGCTGCTGCTGCTGCCACCACAAGTGGTGGTAATGTTCCGACAAAGGGGAGGAAATTCTCCTCTGTAAGCGGACATCGTCGCAAGGCATCTACCCCCTCGGTAAGCTATCCTGTTATCTGATCATACAGCCAGAAGAATTTCGCCTTTCTTCGCATCAACCGTTTTTCAGGCCTCGGACGCGTCTCCCCCGCCTCCACGACGACAACGACTTGTGACGGTTGGCGAGAAGTAAGTGGATGAACTTAAGTTCCCGTGACTTTGTTGGAGCGTTGTCTGAACCATGCCTGTTCTCATAGGGCGGCGCGGGCGAAGGCAGTGCAAGATGAGTCCGGAGGGACTTCCGGCGCGTCTCCCGCTGTTGCCTCGACGGATGTCGTGCTTGTGCCCGGAAGCCGCGAGGCGACACCAAGCGGCCCAGCCAACGATCCCGCGGCTGGTCGTGGTCCATCAGCTACCGTCCTCACCTAGGAGGAGCTCCAGGTCGAAATGGGGCGCCTCCTCGAGGCTGGTGCCCGCGGCATTGGTCGCGAGATTGCGGAGGCGAGGTCGGCGGCAGCGTCGGCAAACGAGCGTGCTGACCGGCTGGTACACGAGTTGGCGGAGGCTCATGAAGACCTCAAGAAGATGAGGGAGTTGGTAGCCGGCAACTAGCGACAACGGCAGGGGCTCGAGCACCGTATGTCGGAGCTCGGGAACAATCTGTCGGAAATCCGTGGTTTGTTGCGGGTCACCTATACTGGTCTGCACCAGCTCGCCGGGGAGTGCGGCATCAAGTCTACAATCCCGGCAAATCCCGACGAGTTCTCACTGACGTCTTCTCTTGCGGAGCTGGTGGCGGCGATGGAGGAGATCCCCTCCAAGCATGCAGCCAGGATCGGGGAAGAGACGTCTAACGGGATCTACACCGGGGCGTGCCACGTCCTTGCATGTGTGAAATTGGCACATCCTGAACTCGATCTGCGCAAGATCTTGGATCAGGGGGCAGCTAGCAACACGCGTAAGTAGGTGATGGAAGAAGTCGGTGATCTGGGGGAATCTGTTCTCCCTCTTTTTGAAGAATAGGATCTCTTGTACTCCTTAGACATGCTGCGTAAAACTGGATCTCAAACGCCTTTGTGCGTGTAGTTATTATTCTAGCTTACTCTTGCATGTTGATCTTGAAAAATTTTTGTCCCTTGTAGAGATGTTGATGACGAGGATGTCCAGCAACGCGGGTAGCCCGAGTCACCGGCGATTATGCCGGCTCTCGCGTTTGAACCACATGCGTCGCCCGACAATGTAGACCAAACCCTAGCTACGGGGACGGAGATGGCGACGACTTCCTTAGGTTGGTGGTCCATTCATCCCTTTTTGCTCCTCCAACTAGATCAGCTATGTTCTCGAAAGAGGCGTGTAGCTTGACTTGGTTGTTCCCACATTGAGCAGATCTCGAGAGTGCTCTTGCTGGCCAAGATCGTCGCATCCAATATTGGAAGACAAAATTTGAAGTAGCGGAACTCGAGAGAACCATGCTTGCAGTGAAAAAAGAGCAAGCTGTGGAAACGCTCCGAGGTCGTGAGGTGTGGTTCAACTAGTACTTGAAGAGTTGCTGCACATCCATGGCCAAGGTTTGTAGAGAGCTCCGAGTACCCCGTGGGGATCCCGAGGAGTCGGCGGCCGGATACATCTCGTGGCTGAACGGGGCCTGTGCTCAACTCGATGACGTCGGCAAGCGTATCGACGAGGCCTTGAAGCAGGAGTGTCGTCGTTCGAGCCGATATGCCGGAGGGCACGTGTTGGCATGCCTACGAGATCATCGCCCGCGCCTGGACCTCGGTTTTCTCCATGAGGGTTTTGTTCGTTCTCGGATGACTCCGACGGAGATAGACCACCTAGCGAGGTCG